CCGCCTGTGTCCCCCTCCCAAACCCATGGCCACCCCCATCCCTGGGGGGAAACCCCATGATCAGCTGCATCCAAAAGCCCCATCTGCAGCTCTGCTGAAGGTTCTGATGTATTCCCTGGGGCTGGGTGCATGTCCCAGAAGGGGTGGCACCGTGGCAGGGCTTCATCTGGGCACGGGGGCTGCAGCGGGGCTGTCCCCATGCCCCCAGCCCCAAATGCTGACCCCTCCCATCCCACCATCCCGATGATGCTGGTGTCTTCCATCCTGGACCCCTCTCTCTCGCCGTGGTGCGGTGGCATCGGGGCTCAGGGTCCCCCCGTGGCTGCCAGGGCCGTGGCTGCCAGGAGGAGCCCCCAGAGGAGCAGGGGGTCTCCGATGATGGTCCTGCCTGGGGAGATCAGATATTGGGGGGGGTGAGAGGCAGCCGGGGGGCCCGAGCTGGACATCACCCCCCCATTGGCAGTGGGGGCTCTGGCCTCCCCTGCGCTGAAGTCGCACGGCTGGTCCTTGCATCGTTTCTCTGCCAAAGAGACCAACAACGTCTGGAGGGGCCCTGCAGGCTCCTGGCCACGGCCACGCTGGGCCACAACGTGCCGTGCTGTGCCACAACGTGCCGTGCTGTGCCACAACGTGCCGTGCTGGGCCACAACGTGCTGTCCTGTGCTTTCCCCCCCCAAGCCATGCCATGCCATGCCATGCTGTTCCCCCCCCATACCACACTCTGCCACTCCGTCCTGCCCCATGCCATGCTGTGCCATGACAACAAGGGCCACCATTGCAAACCCCATGGGGAGCAGGTGGGAGACGTGCAAGGGCATGTGCCTGAAGGCAAGTTTCCCCTGTCCCCCTCCCCACGATTGAGATCCCCCTCTCCTGGCAGAGCTGGTGGGACAGGGCCACCCCCAGCTTCCGTCCTCTGCACCCAGCGTCAGGGAGGGACCATCCCAAGGGATGGAGGAACCCTCCCAGTGGATGGAGGGACTGTCCTTTGGGATGGAGGGACCGTGCCAGGGAATGAAGAGATGGACCCAAGGATGGAGGGCCCATCCCAGGAAATGGAGGGACAGACCGAGGGGATGGAGGTACCATCCGGGGGGCATAAGTGACCAACCCAGGAGATGGAGGGACCGTGCCACGGGATGGAGGGACCATCATGGGGGAATGGAGGGACCGTCACGGGGGATGTCACCTTGCAACCATTCGCAGTTGCGGCAGCTGAATATGCCAGTGGAATTGAGCTGGATGTGGGTTTTCTTCCCATCATAGGTGATGTTTGTGACTCTGAATTTCTCAAAGGGTGGGATGAGGACCTCCTCCTCCCCGGGGTAGAAGGAGAAGTTCTCGATGGGGACACCATAGCAGGTGTACACTGAGAAGGTGGTGTCAGTGCCAAATTCTGTGGTTTCTTCCTTCTTGAGGGAGGAGGAGGCGAATTGGCCGAAGCGGACGCTATCATTGAGTCGGGCAGTGAAGCGGATGTCACTGACGCCCCGGTAGACGTGGTAGCACTTCCGGGGCTGGGCTTCCCTCAGGATTTTCAGGGCCTGGGTCAGGAGGAAATGCAGTGTCTTGAAGTGGAAGTGGTCCATGTATTCCCTGCAGGAGCGCCCGGCCTCGCGCACGGCTGCGTTGAACTCCGGGTACAGGCATTCATGGGTGTACGCCATGAGGGCCACCGCATGCTCCGTACGCAGTCCCGGTGGCTTGGGGACAAGACTTTCCTGCTTCTGCCATTCGGCAGCGGCATGTTTCCAAATCTTCTTGTATATGCCACTTCT